AACATAAACAATTAGCTTATATTTAGTATGTTATATGTGTTATATGCTGTATTATTATAATAAAGTAAGCTAAGTAAGCTTAGTAATAGTAAGCTATTACTAAGAAAATCATAACAAAAAGAAAATACATTTACAGTACTGTAAAAGATCTGCATATAAGTGGATCTGCTCAGTCCAAACCTGTGTTGTTCAAGGGTCAACTGTACTCTCACATTTATCTAAAACTACGGTATCATCATCCTAGAACTCATAATAAATGATGTGTGGAACTTACGGGGCTTGAGCCTATAAGAATATAAGAAGTTGTGAGCTTCATCCCCAGATGTGCTCCTTATCATCACATTATTTAACCTTCTTAAGCTGCTACTTTCTCACTAGAAAAATCAACCTATAAAATGTTCTCACCTTTATTAAAGAAACTCTAGTAATCATTGATCAAAAATATTCTAATAATTTTTCCTGGAAATAATTCTTTATTCTAAAGGATTTCCAGAAACTAAAAGCAAATATGTAAACAGAACACATGAATCAAAATGTGAATAATCTCTTTTAATAAAAATTGAATACGACATCAACAGATATAGAAGGGATTTATGCATTTAGTAGGAGGAGGTTGAACTGGATGACCTTTATAGTTCTACTTAACACTTAGATTCCTTAATTCACAAGCATTTTATTGGGTCATCACTTTGTGCCAGACCTTGTGTGAAGTGGTAGAAATAAAATATAGTAATTTCAGTTAAGAAAAGAGCAATTAATTAAGTTTCTTCATGTTTTCTTCATGTACCATGCTGAAGGACAGCATCAACAGCTATGGGCTAAATGATGAAGACCCATCCATCTCGATGTCAAATTAAAATGCAGTTGGACATTTATGCTATTCCTTACTTAGGATCTAAATCCCCAATTCATCATCTTTCTCCCTGGCAGAAATATTTAAAAACCATGTGCTTTCATGGCAAAACTTGCAGGTTCATGCCCATTTTACGCCTTCATTTACCTATTCGTTCATTCAACGAGGGGTTATGTTGAAATGTCTAACCTAAATAAAGCTTGCAGAGTAGGAGGGCATGGCATTAGATGGAGAAAAGCATCATGAGGAAGTCAGCAGCAGTTAAGGAAAGAAGAAAAAAAAATTTTAAAGGTAAATATAAAATAAAAGTGGTTTTTAAAAAGTTCATTATTTATAAGAACATCTTCTACATTAAGAAGTACAGTTTAAAAGTGAAAGAACCACAGGAAAAGAGTTAAAGAAAGGAGAAACTACAATAAAACAAAAAGTAAATTAAAAATAAAAACGTGTTTCAGAATTTATCTATTATTTCAGGAAAGGCTTCTAAACAAAGTGACATGTAAAGATGTAGGTAAACGCAAAGAAAAAGAAATTGGGAGTGATGACAATATTAGTACTTGACAAGGTAGAATTAATTTCCAAAAGCATGAAATAAGAAAAAAAAAAGACATTATCTAATGAAATACTTGGAAATTAATAGTTAAAAGATGACTCACTCATTCCACATGAGGTCAGGGTTGTAGAAAAAAGAAAGATGACTCACTCTAAACCTCTAAAAAAGTAACTAATTCAAAATTAAGAAAGACCTTTCCAAAGCCCCTAGAACAAACAAAAGAAGTAAAAACTGAAAGGAAAATTTTTTTGGCTTAGAAAAAAAGTGGAGGGTAAGAGGGAGAATACTTCACTGAAAAGCTACACTTTAAAGATGAGCAAAGAGATATAAGCACAGGAAAGAGCATATGTATAGATTTGTCTTATTCAACAAAATTGGCATTTTGATTCCACTGGCAAAGAATACCTTAATAGCTGATCCCAGCATAACTGGCTATCCATCCACAAGAAAATAAAAGTAGACCTTCTCCATAACATGTTAAAATAAATTCTAGGTTAATTAAATATTTAAATGTAAAAGAAAAAAAGAAACAATAGAAATATTTGAAGAAACTTTTAAAACCTATCTGTAGAATCCCGGGGTAGGTGAGATATTCTTATGTAGGGCAGAAAACACTATGTAACTGAGCTCTGGCCAGAAGAAGGACACCTAATGACATAAATAAATATGTTAGAGATAGGGATCTACTGTTATTTTGGGGATAGAAACAAGAACTTTGAGGGCTCAGAGAAAAATTCCTGGTTCTGTGTCCTACGGTGGGCATTAGGGAGGGGTTCACAGAAGGAACACTACGGAGCGGCATCCTCAAGGATGAAGGGGATGCTTCTAGGCCGTATATGTAAAGGCACAGACTCATTAAAGGATCTGGTATTCTGATACTAGTGCGAAATTCAGTGCAATCCAGATGCAGTGAATGACTGTAGACGTTGGAAAGGGACCAGTTTGTGAAAGAGCTTATGTGCAAAGCTAGGAAGTTTTAATTCAATGTCAAGATAGGCCTTAAGCAGGAGAAAGACGTGATTGCTTAATCTTTTAAAAGGTAACTTATAGAGTGAGAAAGGATGTTCTGGTTCAGACTGCTAATTGCCTACCTCAACATGCATTCTGCTTCTCCTTATTAACAGAATCCTAATTTTAATTAGGATAGCTTTGTATTAACCTTGTATTGTTAAGGTGTCAGAGCCTCTCCCGAAGCCAGGTATGTCCATGTGGACTAAGCTGTGGCTGATGACACATAAGTAAAAGTGCTATCTGCAACATTTCAGAAAGTACCTTAAAAGAGAGAAGATACGCCATTTCCCTTCTGTCTTTCCTCTATTTTCCAGATTGCCACAGGACATGGTGTTTGATAAGACATGAGGTAAATTCGAAGATGAAAGACTTTTACTAGGATGCTGGCTTCCTGAAGACACAAAGAGGACATATTACCATAGACTTTTTTGTAAACAAGAAATAAGTTTCTGTCTTATTTATGGCACATGCATCCAACCTCATCCCAACTTAGAAAAATGAGTATTAATGTTACTGTAATGAGAAACTCCTACATTTAAGGAGTGGCTTGAGAAGGAACTGCCAGTTAAAAAGACCAAGAAAGGTGAGACAAATGAGAATGGTCTATCAAAAGCCAAGAGAAAAATGCAGATTGAAGAGGTAGGGTGGGGACCAAAGCAGCAGATTTTAAAAGAAGTCAAGCAGGAGGAGGCCCGAATGCAGGACGTTAAATTTAGAACTATGAAGTTCTTGTTGACTTTAAAAAGAGAAATTTCAAGAGAGTAGTAACCAAGTGAAAATCAAGTTAAAGTGGGCTTCCATCGTGAATGGGAGTCAGAGAAGCTAAATTAATATTTAATTTCAGGGATAAGGGAAATAGGGCAACAGGTTAAAGGTAAAATGGGAAAAAGATGTTTGGTGTCTTTTCTCAAAACTAAACTGTATCTCCAATGATCATGATCCTGTTAATATTGGCTCTTGTTTATTAAATGAAAAGAGGCTACCCATTCTTTGCCAAGAAACTCAAAGCCTTCAAAATAAATAGGAAATGAATGGCCTTTCACATTCAGACTCACTTTCATTTGGGGACCCGACTCTGTCCATAATAGTGCGGCACTGGAAAATAAAATACTTTCTACTCCCAACTCAAATTCTGTGGAGGCATATGTGTGAGTGCAAATGGGGCAGGCATAGAGATAACATGGAACTCCCAGGTCTGAAATAAATGAAACTTCTTTTAATTCTGAAAAAGTTCTTATTCAATTATTCAAAGATTTGGAGGTGTATTTGTATCAAGGATTTCTTTTTTTTTTATTTTTATTTATTTATTTGTCAGAGAGGGAGAGAGTGAGAGCACAAGCAGGAGGGAGCAGCAGAGGCAGAGGGAGAAGCAGGCTCCCAGCTGAGCAGGGACCCTGGGATCATGACCTGAGCCAAAGGCAGATGCCACCTAGGCAAACCTATCAAGGATTTTCAATTGCACATAAGGAAATGCAAGAATGCTGGGGCTTTCTATGTAACTCATTTGCAAGCCCTTGTGTCCATCTTCTGTCTGCTCCCCCGGATCAGGCCCCTATCCTAAACTGCCTGCTTGCTTCCTTCTTTCTTTCCCTCTTTCTTTCTTTACTAGGATAAAGGATGCAGTTAAACAGGAATAAAGACTACACAAATGAGAGCAATGTACCAGGAGCCCAGTGCGCTTGGAATATTTTAATACATTTTCAAGTGTAAATAGCAGGTAGTTCTCACCAGCAAGAAATATGAGTCAAAAATTGGGGGCCAGGGCCAAGGCTGCCAAGATCAAAGAAGCAACATACATCAGATAAAATACTGACCATGTAAATATATTGAATTTATGAATTCAATATATAGTAGTAGTGTTTTTTGAATACTTGAAAATATTGAAAGGATTTTAAATCCATTTTCTCATGCCATGTGTTTTTGAAAGAAATTTGTTAGACTCTGGGGAAAAAATTAAGTGTGCATTATGGTCTTCACTGAAAAGCTTAAAGAACAGATTTCTATTTCTATTAGGAAAGAGTGCTTCTCCTGCCTTCTTGGATTTGCTTGCTAACAGAAGAGATGAACGTACTTCATAATTTGCTAAGTTCCTCTACGAAGGCCAGCCATTGTTTCTATTCAGTGATTTGTAACTTAAAATATTGGCTTCAGGGGCACTTGGGTGGCTCAGTCGTTAAGCGTCTGCCTTTGGCTCAGGTCATGATCCCAAGGTCCTGGGATCGAGCCCCGCATCGACTCCCTGCTCAGCGGGAAGCCTGCTTCTCCCTCTCCCACTCCCCCTGCTTGTGTTCCCTCTCTCGCTGTCTCTCTCTGTCAAATAAATAAATAAAATCTTTTAAAAATATATATATTGGCTTCAACCCATTCAAACAAAATGGGTGAAATAACTTTTTTACTGTACGATGGCCTTATGACTGAGTGGTATGGGGAGAGAAGTGCTCAAAACAAGACCCGTAAGGGTTATAGAAGGAACATCCATCAGATTCCTTCTTCCTGATGTACTGAATGTTCCTTGGTGTAACCTTATAGAAATTTGAAAACCCACAGAGCTACTTTCAAGATAAATAAACTCACACAACTTTATTCTTTAAAGCAGTAATATGTCTCAGTTACATTTAGATACAGTACAAAGAATAATAAAATAGCACCTGTAAATTTCTTAGTAGATTGTAAAGAATCTTAACTCCTTTATCTTCCTCATCTTTTTTCTCCACTTCACTAAACAAAGAAAACAGATTACTCTCCCTTCCACTCCTATTGGGTCACCAGGGGTCTGATTTTCATGCGAACAGTCCTGAGGGAATAATCTGCACCCCTGAAGGGGACCCAGACCACTCCGTTCTCAATCTCATAAGGACTGTTGTTCCTTGGATCATAAGAGCCCCCGGGATAGTAGACGCCATTGAGATTGGCCGCTTGGCAGCTGTTGTACCACCAGCCTCCGCCGTAGACTTCTGCGCAGTTCTCTTCCCACTGGTCTGCATCCCTGTCATAGGTGCTGAACTGCATGCCCGCGTGAGAAGTATACTCTGTTCCTTCCTCTGCAGAACCCTCAATCAGAGCATCACCTGCTGTGCCCTCATAGGAAGAGACCTGCAGGGTATAACCTTCTGCCTCAGAACCTACCCTCAAGTGATATTCTGCATAAGCCTGGTTTCCAGCCCAGTCCTCTAATTCAACCCGAAGGACAGAGCCCCTCAGGGTTAGTAAGTGGAGGTATTCATTGCCTAGCCAGAATTCTCCTTCCCCCTTGTCATCCAGGCTGCCGAAACCCTTCTTGTAGTCTTGCCAGGTCCGGTTAAAATTCAGTGATCCATCCATTCTTTGCTGGATCAAAAGCCATCCTCCCAAACTGGTCTCTTGATCACAATAAACAGAAAAAATCTTACTGGATCCCGGTAGCTTGATATTGAAAATACCACTTTGGGTACCTGAAGGATGTGTTTGGAGGACATCATCACAGTCTAAAAAAAAAATTAAGCTGGTTGGAAGAAGTTATTCTCATTTAACTTTACAAAGATAGGCATGGCCCAGATTAAACGAAGGCAGATACTGGCTTCCTTTTCCTTCTTTCCTTCCATCCTACCTTCCTTCCTTCCCTCCCTCCATGGGGAAAGAGTGCACTTACACTGGGATGAAACTTACGCAAGTGAGTGGCATTTATACCCACAAATTGCAGAGGGGATTTTCCTCAATGGATTTGAAATTTTACTTGCATGTACTGATAACAGCAAGTAACCAGCAAAGATATCTAAGCATCATTTAGTGGTAATATAACTTGTTTTTAACCTGATCTCAATGTCAACTGAGACACACTAAAAATGTGATTAATAAATTGGGTGACCATTCCAAGAGCACACATTTTGAGTGGTGAAAGAATTGGGTTAAACAAACTTAAAATCGAGTTTCAGAGGGATTCATTCATTCATTCATTTAACACGTATTTATTGAGTGATGATTCTCTGCACTGCTAGGCATTTAGGAATACAGAGATGAACATGAGAGACAAAGCCCCCACCCTCATGGAACTTACAGTCTAGTGCCCAAACACAAACAAGCAAAAGGTGTAATTTCTATAAAGTGTAATAGAGGGCTAGGAAAGAAGTTCAAGGTGCTAGGGGAGGCAGTGCAAGAATAGTGAACTTAGTCTAGGGGGTCAGGGAAGGCTTCCCCAAAGGAGAAGTGTGGATACCTCTGGCAGAGCGACCTTTATCATGGCCTCTTTTGGTGGTATATCCTCCTTTGAGGGTTTCATGTTCCTCTTCAATTCCGGCCTCACCTGCCACTTTATAGCTCTTGCTTTCGTATGTGGAGTCTCCTCTGTTGTAAGTTGTGCTACTGCTCGAAAATTGTTTGCTGTGACTTGAAGTTTTACCACCGAAAGGGAACTCAGGTACCCTTAAGTGTGTGAATATGTCCGATTCTGAGCCCACAGCCTGGGTCCTACTGTCAAACTCTCTGTGCGAGGGTAAAAGCCCACCAGGAAATGTGTTTCCAGTTGAGGCAGTGCTGAAGAAACTCCCCAGATCAGGGTGCTTAAAACGGAGATCATCTAGGCTACCAGCAAAAGTATGGGGTAAGTCAGCACAGTCAGAACCATCTTCGGAGTTTACCACTTCTTTGGTCATTTCTTTGTGACCATCAGGACCTATAATAGTCTTAGTGACTGTTTTAGAGCATGAACGACGAGTGGTGGTGGCACTTCCAGAGGTGACCTTCTCATTACCAATAAGAAGCTCTTTGTCTCCTTTCGATATGACCAGTTTACCTGTGTGGTACTCTTTCTTTGTCCCTGGAGTTACACTTCCTGACACCTCCTCAAATTTGCCCCACTCTGGGTTGGTAGGCCTGGTGTTCCCATGCCCTAAGCTATCTGGCCTAAAGCTTCCAGACTCAGAACTTCCAGGTCTCCAAGGGCCAGTACTGCCAGTCCCCACGCTCCCAGAGCTCCAAGAGCTGCTGCTGCTGCTTGACACAGAACTTCCAGAGCTCCAAGTGTCGTCACTGCCAGGCACAGTGCTCCCAGGCCCGGTGCTCCCAGGCCCGGTGCTGCCAGAGCTCCAAGAGCTGGCACTGCCAGGCCCGGTGCTCCCAGGCCCGGTGCTCCCAGAGCTCCAAGAGCTGGCACTGCCAGGCCCGGTGCTCCCAGGCCCGGTGCTCCCAGAGCTCCAAGAGCTGGCACTGCCAGGCCCGGTGCTCCCAGGCCCGGTGCTCCCAGAGCTCCAAGAGCTGGCACTGCCAGGCCCGGTGCTCTCAGGGTTCCAAGTGCCAGAACTTCCGGGCCCAGAGCTGCCAGGGTTCCAAGTGCTAGAACTTCCCGGTGTGAAGCTCCCGGGGTTCCTGGGGCTTTCAGGCACTGATCCTGGTCCATGAGAGGCAGTGTCTCCTCGGGTATTTCCATCTTTACCAGACCCCTCTAATGTAATTTTCATCTGTTGCATTTCCATGAGCACCCTCCACTCTAAAGGGACCTGCTGAAGCTGGCTCTTGAAGTCCCCAGGAAGCGTATTTGCAGATGTGGTCATTTTCAGCCATGGTAAGTATTGACTATCTTTAGGTGGAAGTAAGTCTTTGGCAATGACTTGTTCAAGTTGCTTCTGCTGATCTTCATAGTACTTTAGATCTGTCCTACGTTCTAAAGCCCTATTGCATGAACCTTGGCAAGATCGGATCTTAATATCAATGTCCACCTAAGAGAGGGGGAGAAAGGGAAAGAAAAGAGGTCGATATAAATAAAGAAATTATGCCTATTCAGTTCTAAGCAGTTAATTTATTTTTTGGAAACTGGATTCATTTCTTTAAGGTTAAGACCTACCAATCAATACTCTATTATTCGTTTATGTCACACCCTCAGTGGAAGAGATGTTAGGTATTGTACGGTTAGCCTGGAGAAGCAATAGGAGCTATTTGGATTCATCTTAGTCTTAAAACATATCAGTAAGATGCTATTCCTTCTGAAAGGAAACACTGATGAATTGACCCTTAGTGAGACTGAGATTGAAGATCCAGAGGCATGGTGGTGTCAGAGCTTTGGAACAAGACAAGCAAGGACTTAATATTTGCTCTTGAAATTTACTATGTATCCTTGGAAAATTTGCTTAATATCATTGAACTTTTTTTCTTCATTTGTAGAGTGGGGGAAATAATACCTATTTTGTAGGTGGATAATGGATATAACACTTAGCTCTACATATAGTAGGTCTTCAGTGAATGACTATTGCCTTCCTTTTCCCTGCTATTCGAAAACAAGAAAATCTGGTCTTAGAGCCAAACACTCACTTACCTCCAGTCGTTTCATATCTACCAGCTGATCCCTGACATTTTTCTGTAAAAGGCGGATTTGCTGTACTTGTTCTATGACTTTGCGCCTCAGGATTTCAATTTTGCTTCTCAGATCTTCTGACACTTGGCTATATGTATTATCATTATCTGAAAAAAGCAAGAGTGAAGGAGCTGCTAAGTGATTTTCTTATCACAGCCAGCAAAAGAAGGAAATCTACTTATAAATATCATTTCCCTTTTAATAACAATTTGTTCTTTGGACATTTTATTTGTCAGTTCCAAATCTATTAGGCATTTGATATTGGGACAATGTCATGTCCTTTAGTCATCCATAGCTGTCAATTAAGATGCTCTACTAGCAATTAGTAATCCAAATAAATGCAGAAGAAATGTCTTTGGAATTTTAAAGGTATGATTAGGAGATTAAATTTGATAACATTTCAATTATTTCATCATATCTTTAACCAAGGGACTTAAAAATAATGTTAACAATATGCTAACATACTTAAACATATTCTTGGATTTTCTTACTGAGAAGTTTTCCCTCCTACCTATAGATTTGAAATTGTTCCTAAGATTTTTTTTTCCTTAGGTCAGCAAGAGTCTTCTTTATATCTTTAGGAGACACTTAACTAATTTAAAGTCAACAGTGCAGCAGTAATGGCAAGTGAGTGAGCCTGTTGACCTAAGGAAAAAAAAAAATCTTAGGAACAATTTCAAGACGAACCATGAGAGACTATGGGCTCCGAGAAACAAACTGAGGGTTCTAGAGGGGAGGGGGTGGGGGGATGGGTCAGCCCCGTGATGGGTATTAAAGAGGGCGCGTTCTGCATGGAGCACTGAGTGTTATGCACAAACAATGAATCATGGAACACTACATCTAAAACTAGTGATGTAATGTATGGGGATTAACATAACATAAAAAAAAAAAAGATATAAAGAGTCAAAGCAAGGCTTCAGGAACTAGGGCCTCGCTAAATTTGCTTCCCATGCCCAGAGCAAATCCAATGTCTCCTTGTCCTAAGGAGACTTAGTCATAGTCCTATGAGAATGTAGAACATAGCTCTATATTTTAAATTAAAAAACAAAACATAAACAGCTTGGTGGAGTTGGACTCCCAGCTCCATCCCATGATAGCTTTGTGTCTTTGGGTAAGTCTCTTGATCCCTCAGTTTCCTCCCTCCTCTGTAAGACAGAAACATAACAAAAAGTTATGCTCATCTTCTTTTCAGCATATACTCTTTAAAAAAGAACACATTTAAATTCTAGTCTTCAATACAAAATTCTGACTTACTTTGTGACTTTAAACAATTCTAAGCTGACCTTTTTAATGTTACTTTTATAAAAAGCAAGCCCCTCCTTAACATTCAGGGATATCATGAAGGCATGCATTTCTATCTTAAGTACTTTGGAATAAAATTGGAAGTTGCTAGAAGGAGGCAGCATATTTATCTGGGGCCTTTGTTATTGCGTTGTTGTGTGCTATAAGGTCAAAGTACCAAATATGTGACGCTTACTGTTAGTGCTGGCAAAATCCCCTCTCACGAGTTCCATTACATGCCCTGTCAATGAACCAGAGTCCTTATTGTTCTTCTGATAATCAAATAATGAATTTTTGAGCTTATTTATTCTGTTTGTAAAATCTTGATTGACTTCATCAATTAACCCTTTCATCCTGCAGCCAGAAGGGCATTTGTAGTTCTGGAAGTGAAGAGGAAAAATTATATTAAGGGTCTATATCTTAGATCCAGTACAATTTTGAAGTACATTTGAACAATGTACAATCCAGTACATTGTTTGCGTATAACACCCAGTGCTCCATGCAATACGTGCCCTCTTTAATACCCGTCACCCAGCTATATTTCAAAATACCCCCCTTTCCCCTCCCTCCCCCAATATGCTGACATCATCTATTGACTTAAAAGTAGTTTAAGAGGACTAGTCAGAGGTCATAGAGAGAAATTCTGGAATGAGGGTACACTAAATAATAAATTAGGCCCCACAAAATCTTGAGGCCATAATACTTAGGTTCCTGGGATTTGTCTGAACATGCAACTAAAATCCAAACCGTTAATCCCATTAATGACCCAGAGTTTGGGAGATAATTCAAATACTGCTCTCAGGGTGAGGTTGCTTTCCATTTGTCTTCTTGAATTTGGCATGTAATGAGTTATTAGATTATTTCCCAACTGAAAAGTTTTCTGTGACCTACTGGGTCATCCTGTGCACAATTCTAGCACCACAGGGAAGGATTCTCCCACTCCCTCTGCCCACCACTCACCCAGTCTTCATCAGCACAGAAGGGCCAGTCTGTCTCCTTGCAGGCAGATTGCTGTCTTTCCACGACCCTGGGGCCACGCACACCTCCTCCTTCGGCTATAAATTCACCTTCCTTGCCATCTGTGGTCTTTACAGATTCATTCGAACACACAAAAGAGAACAACATTACGCAGATAAGAAGACACAGGCATGCCTGCAAACCCAAGGGAAGGGGGGGTGGGGCTCTCCCAGAGATTAAGAGCACCTGCTTTGGGGCCTCTGCAAGCTTTCTGACATTTTGACTGAAAATCCTAATACCTATTTCATGGAGTTGTACGAGTTAAAGGAGATAGGGTAAATACATTTTTTTTTAAAGATTTTATTTATTTGATAGAGAGAGACACAGTGAGAGCAGGATCACAAGCAGGGGGAGAGGGAGAGGGAGAAACTGGCTTCCCGCGGAGCAGGGAGCCCAATGTGGGGCTCGATCCCAGGACCCTGGGATCACGACCTGAGCCGAAGGCAGACGCTTAACGACTGAGCCACCCAGGCGCCCCGGGTAAATACATTTTTTAACACTGTTGGATGTGAAACAAGCATTTAATAAATGCTAGGAGTTTTAAATACGGAAAATGTATTATGTACGGAAAATTATTTGAATCAACAAAATTAGTTAAAATTTACACTTTCATTTTCAGTAATGTCTGGAGATAGAAAGGTAATTGAAAAGTTCAGAGTTCTTTCCCTTATAATTTCTGTTTCAGTAGGAAAAAACCTACACTATCTTAGCTTAATTTCTCTCTCCTTCAACTTTCTACTTTGATCTGATGGATTCGTAATTTGAGCAGGTACATACCAAGAGCACAAATGTGGCCAGATCAGACTGGGAAATGCTTTTTAGGTTACCCACTCACGTAATAATTTCCTTTTAATTGCAATGCAAAAGAGTAGACTGAAAGCAAAAATAATGGTCCATGACTGACAACTTTTTTTGAACACCTTTCTAATTAGAAATATAGATTTTTAGAAAAATTTCTATCATGACCTATGAAGTGAAATAGGACATAGAAATATTCTTCCAGCAAGACTTTATAGCCTCATAAATCAAGATGGATTTTAAGTTTTAGTTATTTTTATTTTGTACTACTAACTTACAAAGATTTTGCTATGACTATTTTAATCTCAGATAGTTTAGTCTTTTTTTTTTTTTTTTTTTTTTTTTTAGTAATCTCTATGCCCAGTGTGGGGCTCGAACTCACGACCCCGAGATCAAGATTCACATGCTTTATGGACTGAGCCAGCACCCTTGGATAGTTTATTCTTATAATTAGCTAATATTTGCTACCTCATTTTTTAAGAAGTACCCTAATAATAATATTATTATTCAAGCAATCAAGGACAGTTTATTTAAAAGAACAAGTACAATCTCTTTAAGAAATAAAATTATAAATTCAAACATACTTCAGAATAAAATGGCACAACAATAAAAACAGGCAAAAGTTAAATATTTATGCCAATAAGAGAGAGATAACTGAAAACTTATGCATTATCCAAAATATCGTTAGCAAATGATGTTAGTCTTATTTTCCATAAAACTTTTTTTACTTAAAGTTTACTATAAGAAAGAAATTTAAGTTAGAAACCCTCTTTAGTTTTTTTGCTCTGGTAGTAGGTTTTATGAGCGGTGAAGGGAAAGAAATAAATTGGAATAATTCATAGCCCAGGAAGTAACTGAGTTTCTTAAACATATTTGTCATGTTTTTGTAAGATCTAAGTGTTTCAAAGGCCTGTTGAATTAAGTTCCTCTTCTTTTCTACAGGTCTCTGGAGTCAAACTTCAGAAATCATTGCGATATTTAGTAATTATTTTAAAAGATTGCTTCCCAAAAAGAATATTGCCTTCTCAATTAATCTCTCCTAACTATGTAATATGTAATAAAATATCCTAGGTAATATGTTTTAAAACAACAAATTTGCTTTTCTTGGGAAAAAAAAAAACACACAAATACAACCTTTCAGGAAAACTACATTAAACCACTGTTCTGCATATTATGGACAACTAGCAATAAATTAATAATTAGATTTTTAAAATTCTTAGCAAAAGAATGCTTTGTTCCATTAACTAGCATGAACTATCTCGAGGCTTTATTGGAACAAAGAGGGCAAAGACTTCTTCCCATAAAACAAATAAACAAATGATGTTGTAAGGCTGAATTATAGACACGGAAGCTTTCCCTGTGAATTTCTATACTTTAGTCCAGCTAAGTCTCCTCCTTACTCTTGAGGTGTCAGGCTCATCTAGGACCTTGCCTCCATGGCGTAGAGCTTATAAAGCTCTCAGTGTGTGAGGACGTAGGTAAGTCTCTCAGACCTGCAAGCTCTTTGCAGAATAAACACCAGAGAGAAAGCAAGAAGAGAAAATAAAGGCGACCATACCCAGACTGTGCCCACCACACTCAGCACCAGGCAAAAGATCTTCGCAGAAAACATCTTTTCTCAGGGTGGAGCTGGCTCTTAAGGAGCACCCCAGCTGAAAGAGAGGAAGACTGCCTCCACTCCTAGCGCCCATCCCATTTAAATCTGCAAGGAGGTTTGATTAATCATTATCTTTGTCCTGTTTAGACAGTCAATATGCGCTCTACAACCCCTGCTTCTTCTGTAAGGTTGGTGTCCCCGAAGTTCTTGCTCAATTCCCCCAAGCTTGTGTGCTTTTGATAAGCGGTTGCAAAGGTAGCAGCAATTCCAGGACGATCTCACATTCCAGGAACAGGATGACTTTAGAAAGGCAAAAGGAAACATAGGAAGACAGACCTCTGCTTGAGTACTTGAGACAATATGGAGAGGGGCTGAGGCAGGCTAGAAACAGCCCCCTGCAAACAGAGATCTGGCAAATGATAGTTCACTTCATGTAGGAATTATGGTTGGATGATCAGACTTTTAAGAAATGACTGTGGTGGGGGTGCCTGGGTGGCTCAGTAGGTTGAGTGGTGGACTCTTGATTTTGGCTCAAGTCGTGGGCTCAGGGTCCTGGGATCGAGCCCTGCTTCTGGCTCCCAGCTGCGTGGAGAGAGTCTGCTTCTCCCTCTCTCTCTGCCCCCCCCCCCCGCCCCCCGCTCACTCTCCCTCTCTCTTTCTTATATAAATAAATAAACTCTTAAATAAAGAAATAAATCTTTAAAAAATTGACTGTAGTGATAGGCTGACCCTGAAATCCTTCTATACGTTACCTTGAACAGATTCTTTTCCTCTATCCAAAACAGTTAAGACAGTAGCCCCTGGAGCCAAGCATCTTAGGTTCATAATCTTAGGTACACCATTTCCCAACTCTGTACTTTTGACAAACTACATGTTTTTATGAAGCATAAATGAGTTAACCCTTGTAAAGCCCTCAGAGTGGTGATTCCCACATAGTAAGTATTCATTGAGTGTTAACAATTATTGGAGAACATAAAGTGCCATGAAAAATATCGTTTCTTTCCTGTGTCTATACCTTTGGACATGCCAGTTTACTTTCCCTGCTCTTCATCTTCATATGAAAATTTTCCTTGGCCAGATCTAGCAAACAAAAAACCAGGATGCCTGGTTAAATTTGAATTTCGGATAAACAACATATACATTTTAATTTAAGTATGTCCCATGCAATGTTTGGGACATAACATACTAAAAATTTTTGTTTATCAGAAATGCTTATTAACTGGGCATCTTATAATTTGCCTGACAGACCTACCTTGCCTTAAATTCTGATTCGTATGTGAAGTCTATTCTGGTAATAGTAATAGCTAATATTTATTGAGTGTTTGCTAAGTGCCAGGCACTTTGCTAGACACTTTACATCATACTTAATTCCATCTCTCCAATTAAAAGCCATCCCTTGTTCTTCCATACTCCTTTAGACCATGTACCACTCATATGACATTTATCACTGTAGGAGTGTTGTCCATTTCCTTCACTAGATCACAAACTGGAGAACTGACACATTTTACTGGTCTTTATGTGGTCCCAAATGGCATGGGCCCTCACTCAGCAAGAAAACATGGGTGTAAAGTTGTAAAGTCGACCTGCTGCCTCCTCACGCATTGTAGGCATGTGAAGCTTGCTATAAATGGATGAAAGCCTGGGTACAAGGCAGCACCTTCCTTCACTACTTGTTCTTTGGAAGGTTCTTTGATCAAGCTCACTCCTGATGTTGCTTTCTTGGATTTCTAGCTGCAGCTGCAAAACTTGGAGGGAACCCTAGAATCCATCCAGGTTCTGGAAGTCCATGGTTCTATGGAGAGTTGAGTTTTACTCAGTCGACCGTGACTAAACTGGCAAAATGCCAGGCATGGATAGAAACTTTAGGCTTGACCTCTTCAGATGATTTTGTCTGCTCACAAGAATTGTTCCTCTTGGGAAGTGAACACAGTATATGGAAGATGTTTCTAGAGAGCAATCTAGGGGGCTGCAGGTGATTCAGTTGAACATAATCTAATTGAAAGTAAGTTAACAGAAAACAGTTTGAACAGAAAACATTCATTTGACTGAATGCCTCAGCCCTGGTGCCACATCAAGGTATTTCCAAGGTCCCACTTTTAGCCTTTAGCCCTGCCGTTCCATGGTTCCCTCAAGAATCTGCACATCCAAGGCTTTTCTCAGATGGTATCTCCTCAGAGAGGCCTTCTTTGGCCAGCGCACCTACAGAGCAGTCATACCATGAACCTAGTTTTGTTTTTCTTTCTATTTTATCACTACAAGATAATGTATATTTGGAAGGTTATTTGTTTATGTCCCCCTACACTGAGCTTCGTGAGGCCAAGGCACACTGCCTTGTACAAGATCAGGCATAGAGTAAACACTAGTAAGGATTTGTTGGAGGAATGAAAGGCTGTCACAGTGGCGACACAGAATGGTGTAAATAATGGCCTTGGCAGAGAGTGAGATCTGGATTCTAGCTAAGTCACATGGGTTTAGTCAAACTCAATTCTCTGAGTTTACTTATCTGTCAGATGGGAATGGCAATATTTGTCTTGCACGGTTCTTATGAGGATTATATAATATGGCCTATATAGCATGTTGGATATACACAATGAGGAGACCCAGAAATGGTCGCTTTTATTGTTCCTAGAACGTCTCAGTACCACAAAATTGAAAGTTCCCATGTTACCTCTCCAGTGCCCAAATTCCATAATCAGACAAGTTTGTGGGGCATTCTTTTGGCCTGACCCTGCAGGACAGAGGACCCACGAAGCTGGGCCCTCCCCCACATGAACAAGCTGTATTATAACCTATGGAGACGTAGGTTTTGTTTAGCCAGGAAGCCATGCAGATGAACAGGTGACAAATAATACAGGGAGTATCAGTTTTTTAAAGCATGTGACATTAAGGATATTTTGACAAATATAAAAATGGGGGGGAAGTCTGAGAAACTTCTAGTTTCTTAAACCACAACCTCTGTAGAGTATTGTATTTTTCCCAGAGATGACCAAATCCTAATTTTTTTTTTAGCTCTAATGAGAAGGATGTTTCATTTATTTGTCCTTTTGAAATTAATAAAATATTCCACAAATTAAAATTATCTAATTGCAGGGATTCCTATATTTGCTAGGCCATAATATCTGGCAGGGCTGAAATGGTATATAGTGTATGTAAAAAGAATAGAAATTCTATAGCTGTAATTATGCAAGATGTTTCTGGAAAATATTCACTATGTCTTCTAGCATAGATCTATATGAATCTGTAATTTTATTATTGTCCTAATAACAAGAAGATAAGGGTGCTTTGACAGGACATATCTTATCAAAACAGTATTAAATGCACAGTTAGAAAGTACTAAAATTAATTTCTAAAATTTGAAATGCCTGAATTATGAGAATTTAGGCAATTCTGGTACGGTCTCTTTCAGGGCCTCTGCCTCAGGTTTTACAGCAGAGACTAATCTATAAAGGAGTCACTGGAAAACAATGGCAAGGCTACTTAGCGTTGTGTATCTGATTTTCTCTATTGGTCTCCTGCATTTCAAGGGTGTTGCAAAAGTTGGTTTTTAACCAAACTGTTTACTGTGAAAGGTGAATGAGTTGTTGATGATGTATGTAAGAATAACTAATAGGACTTTTACTTTCAGAACTCATCAGTACCCTGATGGCTCCAGACGGTTTCCCTGGAAATTATAGCTCCAGAGAAAAGATGGGAATTTCCTTAAACATACAGAAATGATTCTGAACTGGATTTACAAAACTGAGAAAGGGAAAAAAGAGCTTTTCTTGATCTTGTTTGCTTCTGTCACACTGCATTTCTCTTTAATCTACCTATGCAGGAAAAGAATCTACTTTGTTATAATTGAATGGTCTCCCAAATTAATAACCATTTAATGGAATCATTTTTTAGTAATTTTAAAATCAAATTCTATAATATTCCAATAATACATTGATAGTTCTCTCTCTCTCTGTCCTGATGCATTATTTTCATGGTCTTCTGCTTAAGCAATTTTTTTCTTTTTTTAAAGTAGACTCCATGCCCAACATGGGGCTTGAATTCATGGCCCTGAGATCAAGAGTTGGATGCTCTACCAACTGAGTCAGCCAGGTGCCCCCGCTTCCGCACTTTTAATCAAGTTTCCACTAAGTAGTTCTGAGTATGTGTGTGTGTGACATGTGTGTATGTGTGAGAGAAACAGAGAGAGGGAGGAAGAAAGAGAGAGGGAGGGAGGGAGGGGGGAGGGAGAGGGAGAAAAATTGGTGAAAGTGAGGTCCTTGAGTTTTTCCCATTGCTTTACTTGTTGTCATTTTTTTAACTGTGTCATCAATTAAATAATTCATTTTCGGGGCACCTGGGTGGCTCAGTCGTTAAGCGTCTGCCTTCGGCTCGGGTCATGATCCCAGGGTTCCTGGGATCGAGCCTCGCTTTGGGCTCCCTGCTCCGCGGGAAGCCTGCTTCTCCCTCTCCCGCTCCCCCTGCTTGTGTTCCCTCTCTCACTGTGTCTCTCTCTGTCAAATAAATAAAATCTTTAAAAATAATAATAATAATAATTCATTTTCAAGATAAATTAACTTTTCTTATAATGTGCTTTACTAAATTTATCAAATTGTTTGTTTTAAAAAAAAATTGTTTGTTTTGAACATGCCTTAAAGTATAAATGTTATTTTTGAAAAGTAAAACCATTGTACAGATGAATAATCAATTTATGTGTTAATATCAACAACATGGACTCATTCTAAAATCATATGCCTTAACATCATATACCATCCATTAAATCTGGCACACTTCTCTGCTGGTTTCACTGTGGTTCTATTAAAGATTAGCAAACAAGATATATCAGTTGGTATTTAATTTAATAATGATATATTAAGATCTGGGGATTTTAATTTATTAAGATTTAATAATGATATATTAAGATTTGGGGAAATAGCATTTTTTAAGTAACTTAGACTTTCCACAGCAAGAAATTTATTAAAAGTATGAGTAAATTTAATAATCAAAATAAATTTAATTATTTGTGATTTTTATTGGAACCT